AAACATTTTATCATACATTGACAAATAATGAAGTGCATACAAAAACAAGACAAGTGTGACGATGACAGAACAAGAAACATATAGTTTACATTGTTACAACTGATTTAAACCTATATATTAGGTAAATCTCAAGCTAGACAGCTAAAGATCTCACAGTACAAATATATTCTATATCTTATAGAACTATCGTCTAGCAAAAAATAGTTATAGGTGTGTAAATATAAATACATATATATATATGGGCCATAGTCAGTCTGAAGATCTAAAAGGAAGTATCCCTATAATAAGAACTTTATTAGGGTCTGCCACAATCCAAGCAGGAAGAGGTACAAAGGGATAATTCATTTATTTTCTAAGATCCGTATCCAATTTATATATTGATCTTGTTTTTTTAAAGAAAATATAGAAGGAAGTGGTAAATCTTTTTCCATTTGAAATTGATATAGAATTTGATTGACAAGTTGACTCCTCAAAAAGGGGAGATGTGACTTCCATTGCCTTGCTATTATTATTTTTAATGCCAGAAAACAATGGTTTGCAAGGCATTTAGATGAGGTGGAAGAGAGTTTCCAGTTTAAATGTAACAATGCTGTATCTGGGCCTTTTTTAATTGTGATATTAAATAAACATTTAAGAATTTCAAAGGACCACTCCCAAAGGTTTTTAACCAATTTACAATGCCACCATATGTGAACAAGTGTTCCCTCTGTAAAGCCACAACGCCAGCAATGAGAAGTTTGACCTGGGTACATCTTAGCTAATTTATATGGAGTCAGATACCATTTATACATAACCTTATATTGACATTCAAATAAATTCTGACAATGAATATATTTACGAGTGTCTCTAAGAGACATACACCATTCCTGCTCAGTTATATCAATCTTTAGAATATTTTTCCATTTATCAAGTATATTTAAGGGTTGTTGATCAAGGTTGGATAACAAATTAGTAGCTTTTGAAAGAATTTTATTGACCTTGGTATATCTAAAAATAGTTTGAAAAAGAAAATCAATTTTTGGTGACATATTTAGTAAAAACATATTTTAAAATTTTTTATTCTTAAATAAGAAAGAAATTCTTTGTTGGGGAGATGAAGTTTAGTTTGGATGTCCACAAAGGATAGAATTTGATCATCATGGAGGATATCTCCAATCGTCCATTGATATTTAGACCATTTATTTAAAGAAATATCCTCAATATAATCTTCTAAAATGATCAAATGGGATGACTTAATTATTTTATCGGAGATTTTTTTTTGTTTTTTTATCTTCTCCCAAGCACTAATAATTTGTGACAAAATTAATGATTTGCTACATAAAAATTCTATTGTTTTTTTTGTTATTTTTAAGCCATAAATACATTTCCAATCTATCTTTTCCAACTGCCTCGGATTCAATTAGGTACCATGTGTCTGATTTAAACGATTCAACCTGCAATTTATATATATGACCAATAATGTTAGCGTAATAACAATTTCTAATATCTGGATAGTTTATACCTCCATTTTGAGGTTTCCTAGAGAGAACTTTAGAACTTATTCTAGACCTCGCCGTTTTCCAGATAAATTTTTGAAAACTAGATTGTATCATGGTTAACCAAATTTCTGGAATTTGAAGAGGAATCATCCTAAATAAATAGGACCATTTGGGCATAATATAAGCATTAATTATGTTAATCCTGCCGATCCAAGAGGATTCGGTCAGGCGCCATTCTTTTAATTTTATGTTTGTATATTTTAAGAGATTCAATACATTTATTTCCATAATATTGTTAACTTGAGATGAAATTGTCACGCCCAAATAATTAAAGACTCTATTAGTCCATACAAAGTCATAATTCTCCCGGAGAGCTTTTAAGCAGCAAATATCAACATTAGTAGTTACAGCAATTGATTTAGATATATTGAGTTTATAATTCGATACCTTAGAATAACTTTTTATAACAGATAATACTTGAGGAAGAGAGGATTCTGGAGAAGTAAGTGTTAATAATATATCATCGGCATAGAGTGATATTTTTGCTTCTAAATTTTTCATTGGAAAACCTGTGATATTCAAATTGTTCCTAATATTAATAGCTAAGGGTTCCAAAGTTAAAATATAAAGAAGGGGTGATAAAGGACAACCCTGGCGTGTGCCATTATGTAGACTAAACCAATTTGATTGAATATTTACACCTACAGTTCTAGCTGTTGGTTCAGAGTAAAGTGCCAAAATGGCATCATGAATCCAACCTGTGAATCCAAAAGAAGTCAGCACCTCGTCGAGGAAGCGCCAACTGACCCTGTCAAAGGCCTTCTCGGCATCCAACGACAGGGTCAGCAGCGGAATCTCCCGACGGAGTGCGCCATCCAAAATATTCACTAATCTTCTAGTACATGTATCAGAAGATCTACCTGACAGAAATCCAACCTGATCAGAATGAACGACTCTCTCAACAAGTAGTTTCAATCTAGATGTTAAAATTGCTGCATATATTTTCATATCTGTATTAATTAAAGAAATTGGTCTATAATTTTTAACATCAGTTGGATCTTTATTTGGTTTTAATATTGGAAGAATATTGGCTTGTAATAACTCCTTTGGTGTTTTAGCCGTTTTGGCCATTTCATTAAAAAGAGCCGTTAAAGGAGCCGTTATCTCTTTTTTCATTACTTTATAGAAAAGATTAGAGAAGCCATCCGGACCAGGGGTCTTATTTACTTGAAGTCTATCGATCTCTTTTTCGACCTCATCTATCGTAAACTCATAATTAAGTTGGGCTAACTCTTGATTGTTAATTTTTGGAATATCAATCTTAGCCAAATATTGTTTAATATCTTGACTATTTGATGATATATCCAAATCATATAGTTTACTGTAAAATTCGTTGAATAGTTGCCCAATTTTTTCTGGGGAGGAATATGTATTTTGATCAACGACCAATTTGTTGATCCTATTATTTGAATTTTGCTTTTTTAATCTTTTAGTTAAGTTTTTATTTGCTTTATTACTTTGATGGTAAGTATTTAATCTCAATTTATTGATTGTTTTTCTAATCTTTTCTTCTGTCTTTAAGTTAATTTGTTTTTGTAATTCTAGAAGTGCTGATCTTAATTGAGTGGTTGGGAACTCTTTGTTCGTTTTAGACAGGTTAAAATATTGAATGTTTAGATCTGTCAGATCTCTATTTATCGTAGTTTTAGATTGTTTTTCAATTTTAATAAGATAGCCTCTAATGACCGCTTTATATGAAGACCATAGAGTAGAATCTAAAATATCAGGAGTAGAATTTTCAAGCCAAAAAAACCTTGAAAGTTTAATTATGGTATCTTGATTTATTTTAACTCTAAAGAGAGAGTCGTCCATTCTCCAGGACTCAGTGGATCTCTGTAAGATCCTACCTATCTCTAATATTAGAAAACTATGGTCAGACCAAGTATTATCCTTAATTTGGATTGTATTGATTTCTTTCAGAGTATTAGCTTGTACTAAGCATAGGTCGATTCGTGAATACGAATTGTGCACTTTAGACAAATGCGTATAATCTCGTAGATCTGGGTGAGTTACCCGCCAGACATCATATAAACCATGCATAGAACATAAATTAGAGAGGGTTTTTGATTGTTTGTATAGATGGCTTTCAGATTTCAATTGAATATGGGTTTTTTTATCCATTACTGGATCAAAAACACAGTTAAAATTGCCTGCTATCAATAAAGTACCTATTGTTTTATTTTCTAATCTATTCATGATTTTTGAAAACAGGGCAGTTGGATTAATATTTGGTAAGTATATATTAACCAAAGTATAAGTTATAGATTCTATTTTGCAGATAATTATAAGAAATCTGCCATTAAGGTCACTGTCTATTAATTTTACTTCAAGTTTTAAATTAGAATCGAATATGATTGCCACCCCAGATTTTTTATTATTTAGGAGAGATGCATGATATATATATTTGTATTTTTGCCCCATCCATTTTAGCGACACAGATCTCAACCAGTGCGTTTCTTGGAGAAAGGCTATTTGTATACAGATCTCAACCAGTGCGTTTCTTGGAGAAAGGCTATTTGTATTTGGTTAGAGACCAAGGAATCATAAAGCATTTGCTTTTTCCACCATGTATTTAAACCTTGTACATTTATAGACATAATTTTCAGCATTTAACTTTCAGAAATTTTGTAAACACTGTCTCGATAGTACCAAGTAGTTTGGGACACAAAAAGGTATTATTCAGACTGACCATAGCCCAGTTAGTACAACAATGTAAATAACAACACATACCAAAACATAAAAACTTCTGATGAAACATAAACGTTTCACCAACATTCAACAATATACATCCCAAGGCTGATAGCCATGGGTTCACTTGATCTTCCATCTTAGAAGATAAGAGAATATCTGTGAAAACATCACAGAAAGAGGGGATTAAGATCAGGCATCTAAAGGCTTAATTAAAAATATATATTTGGAATAGAGGTAATAGGCAGAGAAAGAGGAGGATAACCTCAAATTAATAAACATCTACCAATTTTCAACATTTGTGAAAAAAAAAAAAATTAAAAAAAATCCTCTTGTGCACCTAATTAGGTTTCTTTAACTTCCCATTTCCCTTTCCTCTTCCTTTCCCTTTTTTTTTCCTTTTCCCTTCTCTCTTCCTCTCCCCCCCTTTCATTTCTATCTTATTTTACTATTCCTTTTCCTTTTATTATTTGTATTTTCTTTAAATGTTCAAAAAATAAAAATAAGTGAACAAATATATTAATTATAACTGTGCATGTGAGAATTATCATCTTTTAAGTGTTATTGATTTTATCTTAATTATAACCCCAATCATACTTAATTTTCTTATTTATAATACAGAACGTGGTCATTCCCTACCAATTAGCTTGTAGAAGATATTTAGAAAAACATTTTTTTTACAGTGAACTTCAAAAATATATATTTGTGACTTTAATTCTCTCCGACCTTTTAGTCTTCTCAATACCTCTAAAACCCTTAAAGTCTCTATCAAATTTAATTTAATGATTTGTTCTGTAACCATGTCTTTAGCTTATCTGGTTGATCAAAAGACTCTATTTTTCCATCCATTTGGATAATCATCTTTGTAGGATAGCTCCATCTAAATCTGATATTATGTTGCTTGAGGATATTGATTCCAGATGAAAACATTCTTCTCTTGTTTCTGGTATTATAAGATAGATCTGGAAGTGCTATAATATGTGAATATGGACCATCTTTTATACGTTTCTCTCTATTGGCTTTTAAAACTTGTTCTTTAAATTCAAACGAATGGAAACAAGTAATTATATCTCTTGGGGTATCAGATGCTATATTTGATGGTTTATGCAGTCTGTGACATCTTTCGATTTTCTCGTTATGGCCGTCCAATTTTAAACCTAAGGCTTTAAAGTAATCGTGTAGCATATATTCCAAATTTCCTTGTTTATTGGAATCCTCAAAATTACGGAACCTCAGGTTTTTCCTACGAGATCTATCTTCAAGATCTTCTATTTTGTTTTCAAGATTGTGAATTCTTGATGTCAGTATATTTACTTCTTCGTTCGTTGATACTATTTGAAAGTCAACATTCTTCAATCGATCTTCCATGACTTGGAATTTTTCAGTTAACTTAAAAATTTCACTTTTTATTTCTTGTCGTATTTCTATAGAGTTTTTTGAAATTTCACTCTTTATTTCTTCTAAAATAGATTGTAGACTTTCATTCAAAACTTTAGTAGTAATTTCTTCCTGTTCTTTATTGTCTTTATTTATATCCATAGTAGATGGCTTTAAATTTGTTAACGATGATCTCGGTTTGTTCCCTTTTGAGTCTTTAGATTGAGGAGAAAAAAATATGTCTAAGTTTTTTTCTTGATGTACTTCTCCTTTATCTCCTTTGTCTCGATTTGATACAGATTTAGATTCTTGGACTTGAACTATTTTTTTGGGAGCCATCAGCTTCCTTGTATTTTGCACTCCTTCTGGTTTATCTTCGCTCACTTTCCTTTTTTTTTTTTAAATTCTTTATTTTTAGTTCGACACCAAGTGCCACTGACCAGCAAAAAGTGGCCCTCGCAGGGGTCCATATGTAGCCTACATTGCAGTGAGTTATACAATGAAGATTAAAAGGTTTGTCGGATGGTCTGGTTATCGTGGACCGTTTGGTGCCTGTTTTCGGTTTTAGGTCCGTTCAGGACCTTTTATCAAACGTGAACAAAAACTAGTACTTTACAGTGTATGTAACATTGAGACATCATAAAAACCATTAGTCTTTCACAATCCTAAGTTCCGTCTAGCCGTTGCGTCTTGGTTTGGGTCTTCGTCAACTGCGTCTCCCGGCGGTCATGGCAGCCGGCTGTCCTAAGTTTTGGAGTCTCGTATATTCAGTGGTTTGAAAAGTTGGGGAGGAGGGGGAGGGGGGGGGGGCCACCAAGCGGTGCTGTGGGGATGGAGCAGGAAGGGGAAAGGAAATGGTTGGTATATCTCGGGGCGCCCGGCGGGAGGAGGTCCGCCAAACCACTGCGAACCTTTTCCAGGCTATATAGCATTTTCGTTAGCGTACACTTCCCAGGGAAGCCAGATGTTTTGGAATGTTTTTTCCGTATTTCTGATTTGTGCTGTGAGTTTGTCCATCAAATAGGAGTCTTTGATTTTAACTATCACGTCGTTGTCTGTGGGGACTGTGGGTTTAAGCCACATCTGCGCGAGGGCTCGTCTCGCAGCCAGTGTGAGTTTATTTAAAAGTTGTTGCTCCTTCCTAGGAAGGCCGTCCGTCGGTTGGGACAGTAGCATCGCCCAGGGATCTAAGTCTATATGTCACGTGAGAACCCCTTTCACTAATGTTTGGACCCTTTTCCAGTATTTGGTCACTTCAGGGCACTCCCACCACATGTGAACAAAGGTGCCTTTGCCTCCGCAGCCTTTCCAGCATGTGTCTGTCGTGGTTTTTCCCATCTTATGGAGTTGTACCGGTGTTGTGTACCACCTCATGAGCATTTTATAGGATTGTTCTTGGTGTAGTACACAAATTGACGTCTTGGCCGTCGCTTCCCAGATATCCACCCAGTCCTCCCCTTCTATAGCCGCCCCTAGGTCCTCCTCCCACTGGTGTATATATCTAGGGTCTGCGGTTCCCTTTTCTGGGGAACTCAACTGCGTATATATGGCCGTGATCAGCCCCTTTTGTGTAGTTTCTGCGTTGCACATTTGTTCGAAAAATGTCATAGGGGTCTGTGCTGCTTTTTTAATATCTGGGTTTTTGGCAAAGTCTCTCAACTGTACATATCTGAATACGTCTTTGGTTGTCAGGGGGGCCATGGCTTTTAGGGTGTCAAAGGTTTTGAAGGAATCGCCGTCATACATATGTCCGTATCTTTGCATTCCTGTGTCTTCTATCCCCCTAAAATCTCGTGCGGTCAGCCCGGGTTCGAATGCTTTGTGCTCACTTTCCTTTTTATGTAATTATTATTTACAATGTCTCTTTTTTTTTTTTTTTTTCTTTTTTTCCTCCTTTTTTCTTTTCTTTACCTTCCGTTTGTTTCCTTTTTATTTCCTCCTTTTTTTTTCCTTTTTTATTTATTTATTATAATTTTTTTTTTCCTTTTTTATATATATATATTTTTTTTACTTTTCACTATCTCTTTAAAAATATATGAATAGATATATATAGTGAACACAATTGTCTTAGTTTTTTTTTTAAACAGTGTGAGACAAAATTTGGTGAGAAAGGAAGGAAAACAATAAAAAATAATAGAAAGGAGATTTCTTATCTTTTAAGTGGAGCCTCTTATCATCTAGATGGAGTTTCAACCTTGAATCTTGAGCGCCGAGAGTCACCGTTCCACGGCACGACCAACCATCAGATGCTCCAGCGAGCGCTCCCACCTCTCGACCCGTGGGCCAGCCGACCACACAGGGTCCCAGTGAGGGTATCAGTGAGTATATAGAGTATATATATTATATTATTCTCAGGAGGGTGCAGATAGAGTGCAAACAATGTCTTTTCGGCAAATATTGTAACACGCTGTTACCATTCAGTATCACAATTATCCAGAAAAAAGCTCAGTGATTTTAATAGTTCAACTTACATTCCGCCTTGAATATAAAGTTCTTTTATGGAAGGAAGTTGAAGAGACTTAATAGGGCTGAAAAATCCCAAAAGCATCCGACGGCGTTTTCGTTTTCGATCTGTCGGAGGATCGGCGTCTCACAGCGTTTCGCAGCGCTCATAGCTCTTAGACCGCCATCACAATCCCCTCCTCACGACGCACGGCTACGTCCTGCGTCCGTCCCACGCCCACATCACCTTGTCTCTATGCTGCTGAATTATATCCTGCTGCTGATAGAAACATTTAAATACATAAAAGGAATGAACACAGTAAAGGAGGAGACTATATTTAAAAAAAGAAAAACTATTGCCTTGCTGCAGAGGGATTTGGATAGATTGGGGGACTGTGCACTAAAATGGCAGATGATATTTAACGTAGAGAAATGCAAAGTTATGCACTTCAGGGTTAAGAATGCACAAGCAATTTACACCCTAAATGATAGTGAACTAGGGATAACCACACACGAGACAGTGGCGGATCCAGGGGGGGGGGCAACGGGGCAATTGCCCCCCCCGAGAAATCCGCCGGTCTCCCTCTCCCTCCCCTGCCAGCAGCACATGCAGGTGCTAGCCCTGCAATGTGCCTGCGGACCAGAGGGGAGATAAGAGATCTCCCTCCCCGGTCCGCAGGCACTGTGCTGACAGCCGGCAGGGGAGGGAGAGGGAGGACCCGGGAGCTCAGTCTGCAGCTCCTCCGGGCCCTCCTCTCGCGAGATTTGGAGCGTTGCCGTGGTTACCACGGCAACGCTCCAAATCTCGCGAGAGTGAACTCTAGCCCGGTAGCGTGGGCTAGAGTTCACTGTAACCACTGGGACCACCAATGAATCCCCCACTGGACCACCAGGGAACGAAATATGTCCCCCCTCCCCCCAGTAAAGGTAAGAAGGGAGGGGGGACATAGAATATTTGTTTATTTTAATTAAATTAAAAAATATTATATAATAAAAAAAAGCCACACACACATACATTACCCCCAATACACACAAACTGCCCCCCCATTCACACAAACTGCCCCCCCATTCACACACACACTGCCCCCCCATTCACACACACTGCCCCCATACACACAAACAGCCCCCATTCACACAAACTGTCTCCCATACACACAAAGAGCCCCCCATACACACAAACTGCCCCCCCATACACACAAAGAGCCCCCATTACACACACAAACTGCCCCCCCATTCACACAACCTGCCCTACATTCACAAACTGCCCCCATTCACACAAACTGCCCCCATATACACACACACACACTGCCCCCATTCACACACTGCCCCCCATTCACAAACTGCCCCCATACACACAAACGCCCCTACTCATACAAATCCGCCCTTTATATTAATAAACTGCCCCCATACACACAGACTGCCCCTATACACACACACATACTGCCCCCCATACACACACACTGCCCCAAAACACACTGCCCCCATACACAAACACTGCCTCCCACACACCCGTCCCATCCACACACACTGCCCCCCCCTATACACACACTGCCCGGGCCATACACAATAAACTGCCCGCCATACACACACACAAACTGCCCCCATACACACATACCCGCCCCCTAAGGCCACACACACACACACTGCCCCCCATACACACACACTGCCCGCCATACACACACACTGCCCCAACATACACACACTGCTCCCCCATACACACATACTGCCCGCGATACACACACACTGCAATACTCACACACACTGCAACTGTTACACACATACACTGCATCCCTGACATACACTGCCGCCCTCACTCACACACTACAACCTTCACACACACACACACTGCACCCCTTACACATTGCACCACTCACACACACCACTGCTCCTATACCTTACTACAGCCCCATTTCCTAGAAGATCTCAGGTAAGTTGTCAAACTGTTCTTAAACGGTTTGACTACTTACTGTGGGAGGGGGTCCCGGCACCATTGACACCATAACCACTACACTGAGCTGTAGTGGTTATTGTGTCTGGATTATTTCTTTAAATAATCTACAAGTGCCCCTCCCGAGATCAGGCTCTGGATCCGCCACTGACACGAGAAGGATTTGGGAATTGTTATAGACAACAAATTAGGCAGCAATATGCAATGTCAATCTGCCGTTGCTAAGGTCAGTAATGTTTTTTTTTTTTTTTGACAATCTTTATTTATGTATTCAGTTTTACAATTTTGAAAGGATGGGTGTACAGAAGGGAAAAGGGTGGGAAGTCAAACAGTTATTTGTATTGCACCAATGCAGTGATATCCATAATAGCATAACAATACCCATTTCCGTGTTTATAGATCACACAGTAGTTGAGAGCTGTGGGTATACCCATTATCTAGTGCAATTCGACCTGTTCTGTATCTGTGAGTGTCCTATGTCTTTGATATTCTCATACCCCCAACCATAGGTCAGTAATGTTTTGTCATGTATAAATAGGGGCATAAATTCTCGAGATGAAAATATAATTTTGCCTCTTCATAAATTGCTGGTAAGACCACA